AAGGCAACACACATTTGGAGAAACTATACTCCAAATACTTCCTTTTTAGAAGTCACAAATATTTTAGAAGTTTCCAAGCACAAGCAGACTCTTAAGCCGCTTTCACACTGGACAAAAACCCCACTTATACCCACAAACATCTGGCTTTTTCTTCAGTGTGAAAGGGCATTAATTCCCAGGTCAAATGACTCTACAGTAGTCACATGTATTTATCGACTCCAGCTCCGATCAGCAGTGATGCAAACATGACATCTGAGTGAACACGCCAACTTTCGCCCCTTTCCCCTGTCTTTGGGCTACACACAGCACAGCTAAGCTAACGATGGTAGCCCTAAAATAAGTTTTAAAAACACACATTAACTGACCAACGCATCTCACACAGAGGTGATGAGACACAACAGATCCATTTTGCCAGTCTGCACGGAAGTTAGCAGTTCACTTTGTCTGAACAAAAAGGCCAAATCGTCTGCTGACAATGTAAAAGTGGCTCAGTCGCCTTCTGTAGTAGGTTTGCCTGCATTTAAAAAACCCACATGTACTTGCTAGTTTTGGTGTAAAAAGGGTATTAGTTTTTCTAATGACGATTGCAGCTTCAACTGTTACTGTATATACACTTACTCATCTGACCATATCGCGTCTTTCCACATCTCTCTGTAGACCAGTAGCTTTGGTTTTTGTAGCAATGAACTCTCAAATGTGCTTCCATCTTTGTAATGAGGGGTGTATGTACGGAAACCCATATATACTGTATATATGTGTGTATATGTATGTATATATGTGTTCCTGTATCAGAGAAAAGAACATTAAAGTTTTCAGTTTGTCAGTGCAGATTTTAAGTACTTGAGGTGCAGACAGAAGCACTTTGTTCTTGTGTATTGGTTGGCTGACTTCAGACGATTTCTGGCCAATCCAAACATGACCTTCACACATAAGGATCCAGTCCATTGACTCTGGATGATTCTGAGGTTTGAGGGTCTGGGCATTGGGACCACAGAATAGGAGAGTGGAGGTGGTTTTAAAAATGGAAGGTATGCATCTATGGGGTGGATGGAGTTTGTAAAGGTCTGTCCGTTAGGTAGCAAGATGTTCTCATGTTCTGAGGTAAATCTCTGGAGTATCTCTATGCCCTACACCACCCAGCAAATCCTAATTGAGATACGAAGAATATAGTTTAGAGTGAAAATAATTAGAGAAAGCCACTGAGATAGAAAAGGCAGCAGGAGAAAAGTAAGGTAGGAAATAAGACATCAGAGAGGAAGCTGTGATTTAAGAGGGGAAATGTAGAGCTGGAGCCGAGCTGAATGACGAATGCTTCAGAAAAAAGAAACGCTCAACACTAGAACTGCACAATCATGGCTATGATGATAAATCTGAATTTTGTTACTGGTGTTTTTGATTTCTGACATCCATTGGCTATTTTACCTCTCGGTGAGCTTAAAGAAGGAAAAGGAGAAAAAGGGATGCGTGGATTGAGAGAGAGATAGGAAGATATGATGACATACCTTTGCTGCAGTTATTACCACTGCAAACTGTGTACAGCACCACAAGGGCCTCTGCTCTTTGGATGTCAGCACAGACACACGCACTGGATTATGTGTATGTAAGTTTAGTAGAGCTAGTAAAGAACTTGCTTATTTTCTGTTGCAGTTACTCTCTTCACTCTGACACATTCAGTCGCTGCTGCTGGTGACAGAGGAACTTCTCTGTGTCTATGTCCTGATTGTCCTGGTTTTCTTCTCAGTTTGATTTTTTTGGTTCAAGAGTTGTCCTCATTTAGAATAAAATGTTTGTGTTGAGTAGGTTTTGTAATGCTTCATAAACACTGTTTCCAAATTAGCAAGAATTGTGCAGTGACTTAACCTAAACCTGTCGGTTGTCCTGGGGTTTGTTAACTGTGTGACCATGTTTTTTTTTAAATCTTTTTTACCCCATTACTTTTCTCTCTAACTGGAATGAAATTAATACTTAATAAAGTTAAGTTACAGTTTCAGCTCAGTTTTTCCCCATCCCCAATTAAAGCTAAGTTATGTGCTGTGGTGCTGGTGCACCTCTGTGCTAGTGGTGACAATACCTGAGATCCTCTTGTGCTGCTCCCAGCTCTATAAGGTTTCAATAAGAATGTGAGAACACATTCATTGGGGTTTTACTGCAGGTTAAAATTCACTCTGCCTCACACACCTCCACTTTTCTCATGTGAAAACATTATTCTGTGGTGTGACATTACAGGTGATTTCCTCTTTTTCCTCACTGACTATCTTTGTCTCTCTACTCTTCCTATATCCACTCACCGGAAGTCGTAAATCTTTCAGTCCTAGATTTATGAGAACCTGTTATTGTTTGGAAAGCATTTCCAAAATGCCTCTGGCTGTAGAGTCTGAGCATTTTCGCCAAATATCAGACTGCAGGTTCCTTAAGCAGTCACCAGGGGTGCTGTACTGTCTCTACATTACTACTTCATCTCCTGCTGTCTTTATCTGTTTTCCCCTCTCTGCTCAATCACAGTCCTTATCATCCTGCTTACTGTAGGTGAGTTTTAAACTGCTAAGTTGCAGATATTACAGTAATTCATTAAATGCTTGCCATCAGGCTAACCAAAAGCAAAACCTGAGCTCATTCAATACAACAATTAATATTAATTAAATACAGTAATTACTGAGAAGGATGTTATTTCAGAAGGAAACAACATCCAGTCATACAGAATTGTAAACTGTGCTGGGGAAAGGTCATTTATTTAATTAAAAGCACCACAATCTAAAAATATTTTTTATTGAGGTAGAGCTGTTGGACAAATGGTACTTACCAAGGAGCTTAGTCATAGATCTTTTATACCCTCTAGTATAATATTACCAAACAGCCAGTGTGTCATGTCAGATTTCTCTTTTCTTTTCCAGTGTCATGAAGTATTTCTTTAATGATATGTCTATTCTTGTCTGATTGCACATTAATTTATGCTTTATGCTGTAAATACAAACCAGGTTCCCAAAGAGTTTTTTTGCACAACAGCAGAATGAAGTGGAAAATGTCTTCATGAAGTAATGTATCAAAAAAAAAGTCAATATTTAAATACACCTCTAATAACAGTGTCAGTGTTGTTAGAGTGCAAGAGCTTTCCACTATAATTAAAAGTTCAGTGACTATAAAAACAGAAACCTTGAATACTTAATAAAGTACATAAAATACCTGTTGTTTACACAGCGTCCTCACTCGTCCTCTCAGCATCACTTCTTGGCAACGTGATAATGAGGAAAATTTATAACATGCTTGCCATCTATGTGTGCTCATCCCATGATTATGATTGTTGCTGACAGCTATTAAACAGCAGCATATGTTTGTTTTTGCAGTTCAGTTCCGTTTCTGTAGTAAATTAAATTTTGATCCTCACAGTTTCAAGCCTATAACAAATCCTTCTGGGTGCTTCTTTTAGAGACAACTGTGGGCCTTGTATGTTGCCACCGTTGATGTAACCCAGACCAAGAAATATTATCCCATTTTTTTTTTTTTTTTTTGTTCTGATTCTTTTTCTTCTCCTCAGCTTGACAGTGAGCTCTGCTAAGCTATTTGTAAGTAGATAAACATGCTAATATTATGTGCTTCAGGTACTGATAAATGGAATAAATAATCAAACTATTGGAGAATCAGGTTAGTACTGAACCTTTTCAGTGATGTAGGTGAAAACTTGGTTCAGACTAGTGAATGTCTCACAAATGGTTGTGTTTTCTCACTGGTCTGCCTCTCTGTCCGCATCTGTTCTACTGTCCTGTTATTGCTGACAGAGAAGGGTGCGTTTGTTAGCTGGTGTTGTTGTTATCTGTTTACATGCCAGGATTGTTCAAAGCTTGATCATATTACAGGAAAACTCATGCTAGTCTCAGTCACGTTCCCACACAAACACTTGCACGAAACACACACATAGCTCAACAGTAGTCTAGTTAGAGTGTCAGCTAATCCTCGAGCAGTTGCTGAGGCATCAGTCTACAGCTGAACTCCTTGGTGTTTTGGCCCTGTCCTGTAGCCAAGGGCTTCTGTTTTTCTGGTGGTGACTGCTTGACCTCATAGAATTTCTTAAATCTTATTTTTGTTTTGTGTTTTGATCAAGTTTAGTTTTGATCCTGTCATTTTTACTTTCTGTTCCCTCTCCTCTCTCCTCTCCTCTCCTCTTCTCTCCTCTCCTCGCATTGCTGGCTGTCCTCCCTGCTCCTTATTAGGAAAAAGATTCTAGCCTTTTTGGAAAATATGTTCCGATTAGTGGTTGATTGGCTGGTGGTTAAGAAGTGTGAGGAGTTCATTTGGAGGATCTTTATCGACAGCAAGCTACAGTAACGAGAACACTGTGTTAGCAGGAGAGAGAGAGATCATTGACAAGCCAAACCAAACATTCGCTCTCTCTTTTCCCTTCTGTGCTCCCTCTGTCTGTCAATCAGCTCCCTCTCCGTCACTCCATTTCTCTTTTTTCTGCTTGCTGTACTTCTTGTCCATCAGTGTGTTAGTATTTTATTGCTTACACTCTCTGCTGCTGTTTATCTCTTTAAGGATGATACTTTAATAATTCTCTTGGGGACATTGTGCCTACACAGGAGCAAATAGTAGTATATTGCAAAGATGGAATATAAAAGTGAATAAATATCATTACTTTGAATCTCGCAATTTACATCTCACATCCCCTCCATGACCTGAAGTCATTCCTGCCAACTACTATCACTCTGCACAATCATTCTCCTCTGTGTCAGGAGAGGGGACTCCTCTCTAATAGAATAGTTGTTCCTTGTAACAGACTGCACATCTGGACTTGTTATCATATCAAACCACTAAGGTTCCTAAATAGTACTTGCTCATTTTTAGTATCTGTGTGTGTTTTAGAACATGGGGCAACTTTCGTGCTCTGTGCAGCAGATTTAAGTGGTAATTAAATGTGTGTGTGTGTGTGTGTGTGTGTGTGTGTGTGTGTGTGTGTGTGTGTGTAAATATTAATGTGGGTTTGCTCTAAATTTGTGTTTTTCTAGCATGATGTATCTACCGGAGCTCTGAAGGCAGCGCTGGACGGCGTGGTGCAGGAGTGTGTGAGCTTTGTGGGGGTGGACATCAACATCTGCTCTGAGACACTGATGAGGTAGACAACACACATATATCTATGTCTTCATAAGCAAGTGCATGTGTGCACACAAGCACTCTCTCCTCCACAAAAAAATATACAGACACACATGCAAATTATGAAACGGAGATGAAGTAGGGCTCAGACCTCTGACATACTTTCCCATAGCAGTCACAACATGGCAAAGGTTCATTCACACTCATGCACAGGCACAGGATACACACACACACACACACACACACATACACACACACGTCCTGCCAGCTTTCTGTTTAGACTAATGCTTCACACCCTTGCCTCACTTACTGGGCTGACTGGAATCAACCGAGGGGATTAGGCAAGGTAGACACAGACGCTCACACATACGCACACACAGAAACATACATGCACAGCAGCAATCATTT